TTCTTCAGGTCACCCTTTCCAAGGTACTCCACTATGATGTATACAGGATCTGGCAAAGACAAGCACAGGCAGGCAGATATGACAGACATTTTTACTCCACGAGTTTCCTGTGTGATGATTTCGCCAGCTTGGTTGTTTCTTTTCAAAATGCATAATTCTTGCCAGAGAGTGTCTACCACTGTGCACAAGATTTTTTTTTTTCTGACCATAAGCCATTTCACGTCTTGGTACCTTTTTCGATGCAACATCCCAGTAGCTTGACGACGTTTGGATGAGAACCAACTTTTTTCATGAGATCCAGCTCGGCCAAAAGCTCCATCTTTGCCTGCCTGTCAGCACCCTCTACAGCCGTACAAGGAATAACTCATTAAGGAGTTTGTTTACATATTTTGTTTAATCGTTTCGTGTTTCCCTTTGTCTTTAGAAACCCAGGCCAACAACCTAGCTTCTGACTGATGGGTGTTTAGCCCTGAACCATCCGCCGATGCTCATTCCAATCAGTAACTGATCAATAATTGACCATTATGTGCTTCTTGCTAACAGAAATTTGCAAAATAGCTTCTACATAATAGTCAACACACCTTTGAGAGTCTTGACGGCAACTTTTGAGACTTTCCCGGCCTGTTCGATTCCACGAGCTGTACCAAGCAGCACCTTCCCAAACGCACCACGTCCCAGTTCCTTCTCGATCCCCACGAGATCTCGTGGGAATGAGAGGTTGGGTCCCACATTGCCGTACGCTACTCCCTGCGATGATGCAGCAGGCACTGGGGCGTCTCTGTCAGCCACACATTCGTAAACCACACTTGTGGCTACTGGGTTCAGGGGAATTTCTGAGAAAAGAAAAATGTTTCAAATTTTTGAAGTAAAAATGTTGGGCGTTAAAAATGAAGAGGCTAACAGAAGCATGCAAAGATTCGGTGTGGTTTTCTAATAGTCTTGGCAAATTGACAGCATTCGCTTAGGTTTACAAAATCTGTTTTATGAACTCATTGTACATCTAAGCGAATTTCAAGCTCATTTATATCTTTGGCTTTCCTTTCTGACTCCCCTCCTCGTTTCTGAGGGTTTTTTTCACACTATTGCAAGCAATGAAATACATACTCACCGTATGGATCGGGTTGGGTTTGTCCTGCAGTGATTCGCTCTGTGCCCTGCGGACGTAAATCTTCCTTTAATTCTACCTTGGCACCTCTGTAATTGAAGACTTGTAGTCATTGCTGATGTGCGTTTGAAATCAATTGAATTCATGTTTGTATTCATTTTAATGGTACTAAGTGGCATGTTATTTTGATTTACATGCAGTTGTGTATCCAGGGGGCAGGGCAAACCTCCCCCCCCACCCCACCTCCACCGTTAGATTTTTTTTAATTTATTCTTTTCTCTTTTTTTCTGCAAATTACTTCATAGTTGGGTAGGAAAGAAATTAAGCAGTAGTTTTGTTTATCAAATAAACAAGCTATATTGTTTTCTTCCCCACCATCATGTTCAATGAGCCCGAGAGTGCAGTTGCTTTGGAATTCCCCCCCCCCCCCAAAAAAATGGATACGCCACTGACAATATCTTTACATCACCTGAAACACTTTGATAGCTCTATGGATAAACCTCCTGAATTGCTAATCATCATGTATGGACAGAATGCAAGTTTTTGCAAATATGACACGTACTAAGGCATTTAGGTGACCAGGCTTAGTAACGTAATTCTAATCATCCAGTTTAGACGAATGAAATCCAGCCATTAAGTTTTTCTCGTCAGTCCCTTTTCGGTATTACAATGTGTATCCTACGCCACGTTCAACATGCATGCGGTGTGTTCCTTTCCTGGAGCCTTACCTGCCATCTTGTCCCTTTTCTTGCTGTGGATGCCTCCGCTCCTGTCTATGACAACGTCTCCATAGTAATGCAGCCACAACAGCAGCAACTCCAACAAGGATAATAACTGCCACTACCACCCCAACTATGGCACCTACGTCTGAAGATGGAGAGATGCCAGTAGTATTTAATGCTGCTATCTATTTTGTGAGATATTTTTATTGGGGTCATCCAGTCCCTTCCTTTTTACGGGCGTCTATAAAACGCATGCAAAGAGGTAGGGTTTCACAGCCAGTGCGTACTTATCACGAGCTAGGGGAAAGGCCATTGTCATTTTCTTGCCTATCCATTAGGAGGGGATCTCCAGGTAAGGGTAAAAGACAACTTGCTCATTGCGCTTTTTAGGGGCCCAGCTCAAAGGTTGAAAGACCCCATAGAAAGAATAAACCCTGTATAGGTCACTGTTTTGCGTTGGGGACAGAAAAATGTGATAGCATGGATTCAACAATGGCTACATCTATATGAGGTTGCCCCCCCCCATAAATTTCTAACCCTCTAGCCCCCCTAAAAAAAATTTCCAAAGGAATTCCAAGAGGAAGAGAGAGAATCAGAGAAAGACTACCTAAAACAATGACAAAACAGGCAGCTAAGCAAGCTATCCCTAAGATCAATCACTAACTTTGTGAGTCATTAGAAAGCTAACTGACTCTTGGGGATAAATTACCTGGAATCAGTTGGGAATCTGTAGTCTGTCCAGCAGCCGTCGTCGCTGGTTGTGGTTCTGTGTGATCTGTTGTCGCTGGTTCCGGTACCAAGTATGCTGTTTAATAGGTGCAGGTCATACAAAGATCAGCGTAAAGCATAGCCAGAACCATTGTTTTGAAATAGTGAGATCCTCGTGTAACTTTATATTCGTGAAATGAGACAATACCCATATTGATTTGGGTTGATCTGTGTAGATACAAACAGTTGTCACTACCTGGACATATTTCTTCAAAAACTGTGGCTGTTCCAGTCCCAACTGAGTTTGTGGCGTTGCAGCTGATGACAGCACAGCCGTCTTCCGCAATGAACGTCTCGGTTCCCGGGCTGTTTGTAAATGCCTTTAGAACCCTCGTGCTGTTCAGAATGATTTTATGAGACGTCGCCACTGGGTTGGCATCTGATGAGCAAGTTAGCTCACTGCCACTGTAGTCCACTGTGACAACCGGTGCATCTGCTAGGAAAACAGACGAGCTTGTATTCCGATTTCTACGTGAGGAAATGATCACCTGATGGCGCATAGAAAGGTGCAAGAGTTTAGATGAATGGTGTTGCAAAACAAGTAGAAATGTTTTCGTGACACATTTTGGACGGATACCTACATGCATATTCAATGAATGCTTGACAAGAGAAGATTCAAACGAAGGTTGTATATATGACGGAAATCTGTGTAGATGAATCCAACAAAAGGGGATGAATGAATTTTAATCTCAGGTTTTGCCCTTAATCCAACATAAATTATATCAATTAAAACTGTATACTCAGAGCTTGTAAAACAAACCACAAGCTTCACGCCTACTCGGGAGGGGCTCGAACCCAGGACCTCCTGCTTACTAGCACAGACTGAGTATACAGTGTTAATAAATGTTGGTCGGTTTAAGGGCAAAACCCGCTTAAAGATTAACATCTCCCCGACGGAAAATTCCTCTTGAAAAGAGATGAACAAAGTCACTTACAGTACACATTTAACAATACATATTGGGACTGTGAACTGATGTGTCCAACTGTCCGACATTCTATCCGCCTCTGATCATCAGCTCTCGTTGGAATGAATGAGTCGATTGTACTCTGTGTGTCTGTTGCCTCGCCACCTGATGGTATCGTTTCAGTGTCTGGACCGAGAGGTTCGCTGCCTTTGAACCAGTCTAGGGTCACCTTAGGTTTGGCTCCAAGTGATGTACAGACGAGGGTGACTTGTGTGCCTGCTGTCACTATCACTGCGGCATCAGGAGATTGTGTGGTTCCGTTTACTGCTATGGTCAGACTAGTGGCGGGAACTGAAAGACAGAAACTCCGATCAATTAATAGTTATCAATTGAAGACTTATATCCACAAAGGAGAATTCAAGACCAGCTCTGAAAGTATAGGCACGATAGGTATTTATAATTTCATGCACATGAAAGGCATTGTTCGGTCCATGCTTTTGGCAAAAACCTCCAAAAGTCTGCCATGACCAAGGCAGTTATCTGCTTGATGACTTGCTTTGCGTACGGCAACACAACACTCCACATCTTGTCAGATTATAGATCCAGACTATAGGTACCGAGTGTTTTGTACAAAAAATAGAGCTGCCTGAACACAGGGCCGTATTACTTGTTCAATGCCCAATGCGTATCCAGGTTATTCGTTAGGTACAGGGTTAATGGTTTTTTTCTAAAAACGAGTGTCCTCTTTAATTTCATCCTCCTGAGAATCTTTCTTCTTACAAAAGGCTGCACCGTCAATGTTGTGCCTGATTTCAAGTATGCTTTCATTTTGACAAGCAACATCAATATCTGCATGTAGGTCTACCCATATCAAATACTGACCTTGTATCTCCAGTGTTGCTGAACCGTCAGGAGTTCCACCAAACTGGCAGGTGTATGTTCCCCTGTCTTCATACTGTGCATTGTTTATGCGGAGGTCCATCTGACCAATTGCAGTATCATCATTGACAATCTCAAAGTTTGAATATTTGGCTGGTGCATCAGGAAGTACTTGGTCTTTATCAGCAAATGCAGTTGCACCCTCGAGCCACAGAGCCAAGCCGTTAATAGGAGATTCAAGCCGACAGATGAGAGTTGCAGTACCTTCCTGCTGAACTGTGACGTCACTTGGCACAGTAACACCTACCACAACTGAAAGACACACACAATAATCTACAGAAACACAATCTTCTTCTCGAAAATGCACTTCAAATTGACATGAAATGTGCTCCAACAATTGCAGAAGCACATCTAGATGTACAAGATGCCGCCAACGCAAAACAGTTTAAATAGAGGCTAGTTAGGTCTATACAAAGTAACTGCATGCACGCTGAATATGTTTAGGGAAATTAAAGCGAGCAAAGCTGTCCCAAAAGCTTAAGGTCAATTTCAGTTGAATTTCGGTTTCAGTTGCCCAAGCTGTACTTGTTCAGTAGCCTTTCACAATACAGCGGAAAAAAATCTTGCAAACTAAAGTAAAAATCACTCGAATTGAAATTCCTTTTCAAAATCCCACGTTTAATTCTTGCAATAAAACCGTCCGAAACCGCCTAACGTGGACTTGTAACAAGCACCAAACGACAGTTTTCAGTCTGTGTTACTATTTCGTTTTTAAAAGAAGAGGTGTCAGCCTTTCAGTTTGGACAATAAATATAAACTTGCTGAACTGGAGGGTAATTCTTGTTCTATGCGTTGGAAGTGCTTTGTCGAGGTGGAAATTTTGTATATTCGATTGTACAGTTATACTCTTTTAAAATTTGGTTGCAAAAATGGAAATAACTTTAAATTGTTAGTGTGAAACCTACCGGAAAACACGAAGGAAAACCACATGCTATGCCATTGCGTTTCAACGCGACCCATGTCGACGGCACACTTCCTTCTTCGCTATTTAGTACACGGCTGTCTATTTGAGTGCACTGAACATCTGCCCTAGCCACCATTTTAATTCTACTGCAAAGTGCAATCCCGACTTCAATGCACAAAAGCATAAAATCCGTTCAACAAGGAAGTAAAAAGCAGATATTTTTTGTTCAATAGAGTTCCAGTGAACCTTGTCCCTGTGCAATTAATGCTTCCTGCGTTGTTATGGTGTGAAAGGAGATGCCAAGAGTATGTTCTAACGATGATGTACACAGTGCACCACGGGCATAAAGGCAATTTTCGCATGCGTCATGACCCATATGCAGTTTTCGAAAGCCGAGCTTTATGAGTGCAAAAGGTTAATAATGTAAAAGGTTAATAGTGTTCGTATATTGTAACTGGCACTGAAAGCATAACAGGGTTGTAGAACTCCAAATATACCGCAAGAATGAAATGTAGGGAACATTAATCACAAATAGAGTGGATATTGTTATGCCCGTATTTTTTTGTCAGCCATGCAAAACCCAAGTGAAAACTTGGTGATCTGAGGTCCATTGCATAAATTTCACAAAATGGATCTTATTGTCACAATGTATTGTGCGATACTAAGACATAACGCGAGAGATAAACCTTATTCACAGGGAACCAAAAGCTTATGTTTCCAGTGTCTTTTCTATTCCTAGGTTGGTGCCAAACTATTTTGAGTTCCATGCTTCAATTTATGTTTTGTAAGTTAGGCTTAAATCATTTTGATGTAATTAAAACAAGGGTGTTATATTATTAATCAGAATAAATGACACTAATTTATAGTGAACCCTTACGTATTGTTTTGATTTTTATTCTCAGATTCCCAAAATTAGAAAAGTCAGCTTCGCTTTCAGTTCAGCATGGCCGATTTGCCAATCGGACCAGTTGTCCCATGACTGATAATCATACATTCACATGAACGAATGGATAATGAGCACATTACGTTCCTTCAGCTTACAGTTCAAAATTAAAAGAACGGCATTGTTGCCGATTGTGTAATCCCCTCCGTCGTAACTTATTCTCTCTTTTCTCCTGGTCATGAGATTTTACGTACCTGGCCCTTGCATCGCGACGTTATTAAAGAGGAGATTGATCAATCACAGTGGCGTATCAAGCTTGGAAGGAAGGTTTTTTTCTTTATAGTTTCTTCTTTATGGCTAGCTTTGAAAAACAGTAATACTAAGTTTCTTTGGGCTAGGATTCTTGAAAATGCTGACAGCGTTTTGAGAAGATAAAAGCAGAAGTCATTAGATCAATCTTTCACCCGTACAGCTAACCCTAAAAGAGTAACAAAAGAACCAGTCCCCGAATTCTACAAGCTGAGCCTTTAAGAGTGTTTAAAAAATTATTCTTAGAGGTCAATTTAACAAAACTTCTGTAAAAAAAAATAAATAAACACACCATTCTCGCACAGCGCCCATTGTTTCGACACGTTAGCAAAAAGCATGTAATTTCCCCACTGTCGTGCTCAATGCAAGCAGGCCAGCGCACATTGCCCTTAACTTCAAATGACAAAATCGAGACAATAGTAGATCAGATTGAATTGAAACTTTAGTTTTATCCTAATATGGAGTGCATTTGGACAAAACCGAAGCTACTTCAAGCATTGGAGGGCCAAGTTCTTTGGGCGGAACCCCCCCTAAACGATTGTCCAAAAGCGACCTATAAAAAAAAAAACTTGCACAAAGAGGCGGTTTAGGCAAAGCCCATTCACAGACCCGAAAAATCTCTCTTCATATGGCTACGCTTGCGAGGCATTGTTTGTGTCCGATTCTACCCAAATAAATTGAAAGTCTTCCTTGTAAATGTGTGTCTGTAAGAATCTTATTACTGGATGGGGCAATCAGTACAAACGCGTTGTCTATATGAGGAGAAAAGTGGGCCTCTCTTTTACGTAGCTCTGAAACTTTTTAATTAAAACAACACAAATAACAGTGTAGTGCAATTTACAAACAATTTTTGTGAGGTCTCTACTTTCTGATCTTCAAAGACACGTATTACTCATGAAAGCTGACTACAGTGGACTAAACACATCCGGTTTTTCCAAAACCTATAGGTTTTGATGCTTGGTCAAGTACGCGTTCAGACACATTAATGGAATATACGATAAAACAACTGAATTAATGCCTGAGAGATGTTGCATTTTGCGTCAGCTAATGGAGCAGTAAATTAGCCTAATTAACTACCAGTACATCAACGGCTTACCGTGAAGAATAAAACTGCGGATGGTAAAAAATATGTTTTAAAAGTGCAAAATCTGTTTTGTCCTTAGTGCGTGGATTCCTTTAAACGGGTTCTTTAATCTGATACTTCTTCCTGGCTATAGTGTGTGAAACATAATTATCTAAGGAGAATTGATCGTCACATTATACAGTGATAAGTGTTCAAACAGAAGTTAAACATAGAGGTGCAGACGAAGAGTCAATCCCCAACCCTTTTCATTGCATTCATTGCATTTTTAGCGGCGTCCGTCTAAAGGCTGCAAGTACCCCTAAAAGCATAAACCCTGTAGGGTTCTCATTTTCCGTGTTCTAAGAGTTCAGGACGAAGAAAGCGATTATGGCCTCAACAACGGCACAATACCCCTGTCTGCGTGAATATATTTCAAAAACCACTCTAGAAAACATCTTTGAAACGCCCCTGACACACGAGTAAGCAAGCTAGGCAAAGTAATCATCTCAACAAGGATGTTAAAAGCGACAGACAATGCTTTATTTAACCTGTGAAAGACCGATTTTTGCACAGATAATGACTGTCGAGTTTTACAGTTTCTCGTTGCTGGCATGGATCACCGTCACTTCGTAGATGCTTTCATCCAGCTTGTTAAAAGTGATGTAGTCCTGTTTACACAAAAGAGGAGATGCATATGAAAATTACGTCAGCAAAATACTTGATATCACTCTGTTGTCCAATAACGTCGGCTCTCTACAATTTGAATGATGTGCACGAGCTTAAAAAACAAAAACAAGCACTAAACATTCTCTTTTTAGAAATAAAGTTTCCTGACAGTTACTGGAGACAAAGTCTGCCAAATACCAAGCATATCCCGTCTTCTTTAAGTACCATATCTTTGATGTCTTTTCAATCCACCCTTTTCTCCAAGCATGTTCCTTAGTTTAGTTACCAACATAACCGTTGCTAACCTTGTCTTCTGACAGCATGTCATCCAGTTGTTGGTAGAGACTCTGGAAGGTAGGTCGGTCCTGAGGAATCTTCTGCCAGCAGCTGCACATCATGGCGTACCTGAAACAGTATTGAAAGATTATTAGTTTGCAAATACACAACACTAATTTTCTGTAAATTGCACTTAAAGAAGTCCTCTTTTCAACAGGCGTTTTCCACATTTCTTGTTCTTAGAGTGTTTAATCTTGAAGGCGTCATATTTACAGGATAACCGTAACTACACTTCAAGGTAGGACCTATGAATGGGGCACAATATTACATCTAGCCTATACTTGTTCTTGTGTGCAAATAGTTATGTAAGGACATACTAAGGAGACAGCAAGTGAACCTATAGCATTTTTTTCACTGAGGGAGCAGCGTTCCACAGAAAGTTAATGCACTTAACATTTTTGTTGTCGTTTAATGTACTTCAATAACCAGAATGAAAATTCATTACTGCTGTGGTTTAAGGAGTACGGACAGGTGGTACGCGCGAGTTACATTCCTCTTCGACCAATGTGGTGCTTCGATTCGCCAAATGCACGCGCGCGTCAAACTGAAGAATGTTCGTTTGAATGCGGTACCACCGCAGTTATCGTGTCCACTTGGATTAGTCAATCTTAGATGCCAGTTTAACGCTTTGGCCAATCAGCATGAATCAGTGGACCAACAGTTGTCACCAGTATACGCTGTACAAGTTTCGAGCAGACTGAGTATCTGTGGGTCTTCTTTATGCTAATGACTTTAAGATACCTACAGCTCTTTCTTGCAGTGTTGGGGCCTCGGCATACGATACCCCTGCTGCAGTTGGCTCACCATCGTCTTGGCTTTCATCATCGGATACGGTCTGGCACCTTTCCCAAATAAGAGAGATTACTATATTGCTATTATTTACCATTCTTGTACATGAACTGCATTACCCTAGTCAGTGTTACGTTGTTATTTTCATCTAAAATTCCAGAAAACTGTTCAGCCTAAAGTTTGGAAGTTAACTTTTCACTCACCAAGTGTAACGATCTCCCACAGCAGAACCCCAAAAGACCATACGTCACTCTCTGTTGTGTACACGTCGTTGAGTATGGATTCCAGTGCCATCCAACGCATGGGGAGTGGGCCCTACAGTTGAATGTGAAATCCTCTATGATTTCATTGAATCGAGTCGTATTTTCCAGGAGAAAAAATCTTCCACTGAAGTGAAGCGTTATCAAAATCGACAAGATCTTTAAAGCTTTTAAGTTTCTAATAAAGAAATTAAATTCAAGCATAAAACAGAAAAGTGTGATCTTGCATATGGTACCTGTGACTCTCGTTGGTAGATGCGAGTGTTCATGACGTCACGAGCCAGACCAAAGTCAGACACCTTACAGACCAAGTCATCGCTCACCAGCACGTTACGGGCAGCCAGGTCACGATGCACACACTAAAATTAATGTCCGAGAAAAGAGACCTCAATGCCATCCAAATAAATGTAAGCCATAAAAAGCTTACTTGTTCAAAACGACAAATCTTAAGTAAACATGCTTTACGATGTGAAACTCTTGAGAGTCATTTGCACTTCCAAACAGGCGACAGGACTGTATCCCGGTGATTTGAGGGTTGTTGTTAGAATTGTGAAAATAAAAAATTTTCCACTGAAAAATCATCAAAATATGAAAAAAATGCACTGCCAGGATTAATAGTCAGTGTGCACTGACACAAAGGATCGATAATTATGTAATTCAGAAACGTTACGTAAACAACCGTTCTGTCAGCGCTTTACCTGTTGTGATGACAAGAAGTCCATTCCGTTTGCCACATCCCTGGCAAATTTGACCAGGGTTCGTGAAAGAGATTTGCTCAAGCCAGGTATGTTGGAGTAACCCGAACCAGGATCCTTGTCTCGGTATCCCAACAGCATCTTCTTGAGGTCACCCTTGGCAAGGTATTCGATGATGATGTAAACGGGATCTGCTTGCAAGAAAGCAAGATGGGTGGAAACATGTATTGTTTGTAAGGATCAAATTCTATTCGTCAAGTCTCACGATTTCATAACTCTTTGTAGCTTAAGCTGTTACCTCAAGCTTGGGAATTTTAAAGAGGTTTGTATGGAAATTGGAGGCCTTAGGTCTTCTGTTGTTTTGTTTTCAGATAGTTGGGCTGCGGGGTCATCTATGAGGTACTTAATAATTATGACTTGGGAGGGGTATATAGGCAGGGGCATTACGTACACCTTGCGTACAGGATGGGAAGGGCCCAAGGAATTGCTTACAG